CTCTTCCGAACAAAACAAGCAGGTCAACCGTGGCTCCTAAAACAGTGAAACGTGAATGCAAGCTGCAGTTTCTCCGACCCAATCAGATATGTTGGAGCTCTCTGTTCCTTGCTGTTGAAAGGATTGTGCGCATCCACCGGGAGCAGGGAGAACAAGTATTTCGAAATGTCTACACGGCACTAAAGATAAAGCTGTAAAGATAAAGCTGTAAGTAGGTGACGATGGTGAACTGAAGGCTGTGTCTTAGCGGAGCTCCCGCTTCGGTTCAAATGTTTCCAGCTTTAAAGTGCCTTTTACCTGCCTGACTCCTCGTGTATGACACTGCAACATGGCAACAAAGCCTGGTGGACAATCTCTTAGAAAAAGACTGGCCAAATTGAGGCAAACAATACAATCGAAGATTATGGATCTGTCATCGCTGCCTAACATGGCGCCTCCATCTCTGACCGGTACTGGTGAGGTAGGAGCAAGTGCCATAGACTTGTTCGAACTCGTACGGGAAGTCACTCAAAATATAAGCAAAATCGTGGATCAGATGTTTTCTAAACTTACTAACGCCTTGAACAAAATTGCGAGTACATTGGAAAGCCAATCAAAACGTATCAACGAAGCAGATCAACGGATCTCCGCCACTGACTGGCTGCTCTCAAGCTTCGCCTCGCGCAGGTGGAGAACAGTCAGAAGACCATGGCCGACCAGATTGATGATGCTGATAACCGCAGCAGACGGGACAACATACAGATCTCAAACCTGAAGGAAGGAACGGAGGGTGAACATCCCCACGAGTTTTTCGAGTCCTGGCTGCCAAAGACCCTCGGTTTACGCACTACCAATGGGCACATAAAGATGAGAAAAGTATATTTACTGTAAAGGATCTGCAGCTATTTTTTTTATTATTATTATTACTTGGCTGTGCTGGTTAATTTCTTGATTTAAATTAGGGCACCATCTCTTATTAATGCCATGATTCTTGCTAACTATCGGGTTAAGCTTAGTTCGGTGAAGACTACCTGGACGGTACCAGAGCTTTGGTACATCTGTTCTGAACTAGAGCGGGGGCTCTTTTGGGATAATTTTGCGTTCCCTTTTTCGGTTTTATTCCCCTTCTCTTTTTTTTCTTTTTCTTTCTCTGTAGTGACGACCTCCTTTAGTGTCATGTCCCCCCATAATACCCTGTGGGTAATTTTCAGTTGTTTTTATATGTGTGAGACCCTTAGGTCATATTTGTGTGAGTTCTGTGCGGGGTGGGTTTTGTTTGGTTTTACAGGGGCTTCAGTTGTTGTTTGGTAACGACTTGTTTACATGTGACAGCTGTTTAAGAGCTACAAGCCTTTGTAGCTCTACTACTTTGTAGCTCCTATCTACTTCTGTACATGGGATCTTTATCACAGTTAAAATGAGTGTCATCAAATTCACACCCTACACAACGTGAAGGGTATTAATAATGTAATTAAGCGTCGTAAAATGATTTCATCTCTCAAAAAGGAAGGAACCCATATAGCCTTCTTACAAGAGACCCACTTAAGTCATGTCAAACTTAGAAGAGACTGAGTGGTTCAAGTGTATCATTCTGCTTTTAACTCCAAAAGTAGGGGTGTAGCGATCCTGGTGCATGAAAGGGTGCCTTTTGTACTGGAAATATGCATCACTGATTCGGAAGGAAGATATATTATCCTGTCAGGTTTTCTATACGGAGAGAAGCTTACTTTAGGCTGCATTTATTCCCCCAACACATTTGAATCTTCATTCTACTCCAAATTGATGGCTGCTCTATCCTAACACAGCACCTCTTACAATCTTGGGCGGAGACTGGAATGCCTGCCTAGAACCCGAACTAGATTAGCACCCTGTGAAATCCACTCGTTCATCAAAAATGGCTACAGCCGTAAGGGTGTTATGCAATGATCTGACTCTTGACACCTGGAGAATACTGAACCCAAAATCGAAGGATTTTACATTTTTTTCATCCCCTCATAATTCATTTTCAAGGATTAATTTTTTTTCACCTCAAGATGAGTGTTGGAAAGGGTTAAAATGTGTACTATTAAAGCTAGGGCTCTCTCAGATCATTCAGTGGTATGCCTGGAATTTACGCCTCCTTATTATGATCCAGCTACACGTCACTGGCAGCTCTCCCCCTCCTTATTTAGCGATCCTGCTTTCGTAACACTGTTAGAGGAAGAACTAAAGTTTTCTTTCTCAACCAATGACACAACATATGTTTCAGCCTCAACACTATGGGAGTCTTCAAAGGCCTTTATAAGGGGTGTGATCATTTCGTATACCTCAGCTAAAAGGAAAAAAGCACTCGGACAACAGCTAGAGCTTGAATCTAAAATCTTCAATTTGGAGAAGAGCTTAAACACCCCTTGTCTAAATCAATACGACTGAAACTGGATCCAGCCCGCTCCCCTTTAGATAAAAAAAAGCAGAAACTGCAATCTTCTATGCAAAGCACAGATTATTTGAGTCTTCTAATAAGCCTGGGAGACAACTGGCTCGTCTGACAAAGGGCAGGGTCAGTTCAAACATGATTTCCTTTCTAAATTTCCTCTCAATCCAGCTGAAATGGGATTTTTAGTGGAGCATGCTGCTGTGATGAAGCCTGTTGCTATGGTCCTTAATATCCTTCAAGGGGAATCTTCTGTGCATATGGGCCTCCTACTGCCAACACTGTACCAGTTGCAGGACAAGCTGAAGAGGCTAGAGTCATCTTGCAAAATGTGTACACCTCTTGTTTATGCCCTGCAGAGTGGGATTGAGAAACGTTTTGGAGATGTCATGAAAGAGCCTTTGCAGCAGCAATACCCCTACCAAGATTCAGAACATTCTGGACCACAGATGAGAACATCTTAAATGCTGGTAAATATACTTGTATAATAATTCAAATGTGAACCAGAGTAGACGGTAACATAAATCTGTATAATGTTACTGTCATTTAGGAGTAACGTGTATCAGTGACAAACCACAGGGTGGCAATAAGCTCTGGCAGCTTTTTATGTCAAACACCAGCAACTTCACACCCTATACAGTAGAGGGGTAAGAATAATGTGCAAACCCACTGTAATTATTTTAAAAATGATTTATCTTGCCACAGGCCTCAACTACTATCAGAAATCACATTGACACTGAGTTGGACAATGTCACCAGTGCAAACAGCAACCACTGATGAAGATGACTTCTTTGTATCCATGAAGTCAGGAAAATCTCAAGGCGGAGAGCTGGGGAGGTACCTTACATGTCTGTCCTCTGCAGGTATGGATCACATACTGAGTCACTGAGTGATTCTTTGGTGAAAATATTTGTTTCTGAATGTTTTGTCTCAAACGCAGAGTTTATGGGAGATTATGGCCTTATTCAACCTTATGTTCAGCCACATGCACAGAGTTTATGGGCTGCCTTGTTCTAGTTCTAGTTCTAGCTGAGCCTGGTGAAAAAGTAGAGAGTAGAGAGATTTGGAGGTTTTTGTTACT